TGGTAAAATTGTAAAATCAAATTATTGTTCTAAAATCATTGTTAAAAATTTTTTTAGTGTATTCTACAAGGTTAGTTCTAAATATTTAATCTAAATGTGTAGTAAAATTAACTAAACGCAATTTTGTGCATTTTTAAATTGTTAATATTATTATTATACGATTATTGCTATTATAAGTATATTTACACATTAAAAAATCTAACATAGTACCAAGAACGGCGCTGTCATTGAATGCATTCAAATTAAAACAATCTAAATTGTTATTTGCTCAATTAATTACTATTAAACCAAAATAGGGAAACATTTTGCCTAAATGTCAAAGAATTTATTGCGTTAAATGTGTAACGTTGTTAAATAAATCAAATTAGTATTTAATGCAATAACATTCTAACATAAAATGAAAATAAAGATACCTATTTATTTAATTCAAGACAAAAAGGATTTAAGAGAATAAAAATTAATTTTGTTCTAACAGCAGTAGGCAATGGGGTTAAACAATACCAATCATTTTATTAAATACCAAGAAATTTATTTTAAACAATCTTAGTTGGTATCACGGTAAATACATAGTGCTTTTTCGCACAATTGTTGCACAGTATTTTTTTAAATAGTGTAAATCCAATGATTAAATGGCGCATTGATATTCAAGGAAAAGGCGATATCCAGTATTAAACCAATAAAATCATTAAGGGCCGTATGCAGAAACGTTGATTTATTTATATCAACTGATTTAGCATATCAGTGGATATAGGTTTTTGCACGACGTGGCAACACAGTATTTTTCTTTAAAAACTGTTGTTTTATAAAATAAATTGGGTAATCATCTTTCAACGTTTATATTTTTCATAAAAAGTCGATTTCTTTACATTGACATTTTAAATTAGACATAAAACAATTAAAATATCATCAAGATTTAGTTGACATTTGTGACATTTGCTTTTAACCTTAGAAACTAATTTCGCTAATAAAAGTCATGGTTTACTAGATTGGTTTTTTGGCCAATAAAATCATCTTAAATGAAAATCGGTTGATATAATTTTTATCAGTCGTTAACGACTAATTTAAAATATATAATAAAAATATTCAGTATTTTTGCTTGTAAATATAGGTAGGTACATGAAAAAATAAATTCAGAAGGTAAACATACCTATAACAAAGATATAATTAAAAAATAACATTTTTTTAAAGATTAAATTACTACCATGTTAATTATATCAAACATTTTTTCTGTTTTTTGTCTGATTGAAAAGCAGAATACTTGAAATCAATTGAATTATAACTTTCTTTAGTTTCATTGTAAAATAATTACCCCTAACATTGAACTTAAGTGAAAATTTTTATTTTTTTAAATGAATAAACATAAATGATTACTTTTTAATATAATACCTATATTATAGATAATTAAACAAAATACCATTAAATAAATAATAAAGATTATAAAAGAAAACCAAAATTGGGTTTAAATTTTTAAATTATGTGCTTGCTCTTAGAAATAGAAACAGTAGGGTTTTTTTCTGAGAGTAAATTTACACTTTATTTATTTTTCGGTCCAGAAATATACTATTAAACATAGAAGAAAACGGAATGGAGGGACAAAAGAGGAACATGGGTATTTCAAATTAAATATACATATTATAATATTATTACCTATTACCTATTACATATTATAATATTATTACCTAACTTTTTTTGTCAATAATAATAAAAAGGCATTTTATAGGAAAATAAAAAATACACCCTGTAGGTAAAAGAAAATGTTTTGGCTAGAAAGCAAAAACAGGCAGTGTATGAAACTATGTTTTAATATTTTTGGTTCAAATTGTTTTTATTATTTGTAATATTTATTTGACCAATAATTAAAAATATGCTCTGAAACAATATTTTTATTTTTGAAATAAAATACACAGGGTAATAAAGTCTGGACTAGAACTGCAACAATTACATTTTAAAATTCGCTTTATAAAAGTATCAGTTTTTAAAATTTGTGTACATATATTTTTTAATATAAATTATTTAAAAAACAAAGTGTATAAGGCGTGCCGAGTTTTTTTCATTGGGTTTAATTTATCCTTTTAGAAAAGCAGGAATTCTTGCCCCATTTCCAGCAAGGATGTAGCCAGGATTTTGTTCAAAGGGCGGCAGGCAAGGGTAAACCATGTATATGCATGCTACAAAAAGTTTCGAGGCTCCACATCCCACCCATTTTCTAGCATAATTTTTCTGGACATGCAATTTTTAGTATAGCTTCCTCCTTTTGATTACAAAAGTTTATTCTAAAGCCATAATTTATGTATATCAAGCATTAACTAACATATGTTATCCTCTTGAGTTTGTTTCTTAATTTTCTTATATTCTTGTCACAAATTTTAAATGTCTTTTTTCCCTCTCGATGTCTTCGGCATCATTGCATTTATTTTCCAAAACATTTGCCTAAATGCCTAAAAAGGTGTTATTGGTACCTGTAAAAGAATAGGTATAGTATTATAGTATTATAACTATAATATAATTATCATAATTATAATATAATTATTATACTTATAATATAATTAATTAATCTCTTACAAAAACAAACACTTAACAAAATTTTCACCAACATCAACAAAATTTCGTTGTTCTTTTCAGAGGCTTTAAGCCGTAATTTTCGTTTCTCATACCTTCTAATGCAAATTTAGGTACTTGTAACAAAACACATTGCAAACATAACCCAATTGTTGTGTTTCATATTGCCCAATCCTATATAAAACCTATTTTTTGTGAATAATAAGGTTAAGTCAGTTATAAATGTATTTATCTACTCCTGCATTGACGAGCTGTCACTTTATGGCGTTTTATTGACGGGCTGAAGTTAACAACAGTGGCTTTTCGACATTTTACGTCACGGGCTGAAGTTAGCTTTATTATAAATTGGGAAAAAGTGAGGTTAAATTCGGGTGACAGTTGACAGATGTCAAAATTTTAACAAATAAAATTGGCTTTAAATTCTGTTTTGTGTTCGTCGTAGATAAAGTATAGTATGCAACTCGTTTATAAACTTCTCTAGACACTCGTTTTTATTAAACACTCGCTCGCAAGCTTCGCTCGTGCTTAATTAAACTCGTAACTAAAATGGCGTTTATAAAACTTGATACATAATATACTATTATGTGTATATTTAATAATGCATTTTAAAAATGTATCACTCTTATAACACTGTGCAACACAAAAAATGAACTGGGATCAAATCTGAAAAAATCGAATCTAGGCAACCCCCAAAACAAATCCTGTAAGGGGTTTTACCAGTTTAGCTCGAATAATGGAGATATACATATATATATGTACAGGGTGTTTCTTTTAACTTGAGACAGCTCAATATCTCGAGAAATACGCATTTCACGGAAAAATGTCTTAAATAAAAGGTTAATGTGACTAAAGGGGACATTATTTGGTGCTACCGCTAGCCACTCCCTACCCCTCCTTAAGGGTGAAACGGGGGGTAACTTTGGAAAGTCAAATGGAATGACCCGATTTTTTTCACAGAGTTTGGTAGTACATAAAAAAATAAATAACTTTTATTTAAAACTTTTTTCAATTTATCAACAGATGGCGCTGTAATTCAAAATTTAAGAAAAATGAGTTTCCTTGTAAAATGTATTATTTGAAACGTTTGAAAAACAAAAATTAACATTAAATCAACAATAGTCGGCTCTGAAAACAATTTATAACAAATGTTCGAAATGTCGTCCTTCCATTTCGACACCAAGTGGAGCACCAGCGTCTTAAATTTTGAATTACAGCGCCATCTGTTGATAAATTGAAAAAAACTTTTAAATAAAAGTTATTCATTTTTTTATGTACTACCAAACTCTGTGAAAAAAATCGGGTCATTCCATTTGACTTTCCAAAGTTACCCCCCGTTTCACCCTTAAGGAGGGGTAGGGGGTGGCTAGCGGTAGCACCAAATAATGTCCCCTTTGGTCACATTAACCTTTTATTTAAGACATTTTTCCGTGAAATCCGTATTTCTCGAGATATTGAGCTGTCTCAAGTTAAAAGAAACACCCTGTATATCTCCATTATTCGAGCTAAACTAGCAAAACGCCTTTAAAGATTAGTTTTGGGGGTTGCATAGATTCGATTTTTCCACATTTCATCCCAGTTCAAATTGTAAGGTCAAAATTTGTCGCACAGTGTAATGTAATAAACACATATTTAAGTATATGTAAGATAACCTACAAATTCATAGAAAAAGGATACAAATCTGTTGTCATTTAAAATTTGCAATGTTGCCAAATTGGTTCAAACTTAAATTAGTGGATATGCGTAAATCAATTGATATAAATAAATTAACGTTTCTGCATACGGCCCTTAATCATTTCAATGACTCTTGATATTATTTTATTTACTATTGCTATTATTTCAATGACGCTTGCATTTAAAGCGATGCCAGCTGTGTTCCACGCAGCAACGCTGCTTCCAATTTCCACTACGCATTGCGTAGTACGCAATAATTACGTGGCAATTCGAAATCCGATCGTGTACACTAGGGTCTACGTGTACGGTTCTGGTTATCGATTGCGGAGATTCCTACTACTACTACTAGTTAAGGCTTGTTTTTAAAAGTCTTTTGAGTATTTGTTTTGTGTTTTTAAATTGTTAGACGTGTGGTAGTTTGTTTTCTGTCGGTGAATTATTGTATTTTTCTGTTGATTTTAATGATAAATTATATCATATAAATAGTAAAATAGGTATTGTGTGACACAATTTGTGTCTGGGCTCTGATAAAACTGGGGTGCGTTCATGAAATTAACTCGATTAACACTAGAGTTACTTTGGTCGTTAATTAAAACATGATGTAGTTTATTTTACTCCTGTCAAGCGTTCATGAGCATCGGTGTAATTTACCCAGAGTTAACATTTTCTACACACCTCTCGGAGGTCTGTAAAATTGGCACCGCATGCGCAAAACTAATTGTTTTCATTAACGAGGATATGTTCGTTAATTTTTAAAGTCACGTTTGAAAATGGAAGTTTGTGATAAGATGGTAATAATGGACGCGGACGTAAGTCGCTATGAATTAGTATTAGAAGAAGCAACAGGCAATTACATAAGAAATGAACAGGGTTGTGCTTTAGCACATGATAAAATAAGTAAGTGAAATAAATATCATTATGTTATTTAAAATATACATTTATTTCTTAATATCAACAATTAATTTTATATATTTTAGATGATAATTTGGTCTACCTAAAAATCGATTTGGACAATAAAGGGGAGGGAAATACCGAAAAGGAATATCCGGAAAAGGAAAATGTAGAAAACAATAGATGGGACCGTAAAGGAGTACTAATGCTAATTGATCAGTTTAAGTTTAAATCAACAACAATCAAAAATGAAAGTGTATGGAAGGAAATTGCAGGAAACCTTGCAAAAGAAGGACATATATATTTTCACATCAAGCCAATGTGAAAATAAATTTAAAAATTTTAAACGGAAATATCAAAAAAAAGATTGATAATATGAAGGCAACATCAAGTGGAGCCGCGGCTATAAAATTTGATTATTTTGAAGTTTAATGAAATATTTAGTAAACAGCCAAATATATCTCCAATAGCCATTGCATCCTCAAGTAGAGCACAAAATATAGATTTACAGTCAGAGTCAACCGATAGTGATGTGTTTGAAAATAAAGGTGGGTATATAAGTGATTATGTAAAAACATTATGGTACTAATTGTGTGTACATTGTGAATATTACAGGAGTAGGCAAACCACCATTAAAGAAAAGAAGAACTAAGGCCGATAAATATTTGCAGCAGATGCAAGAAATGGGAGAAAAAAGGGAAGAAAACAAAAGAATAAGGCATGAAGAGATGATGAATTTACAGAGGGAAACCACCAAATTATTTGCTGATAAAATGGATAAATTAATTGACAAGCTATAAAACTCACCCTGTATGAGTGTGTTTATTTGCAAAACTCTTTTTGCTTATTTTAATAAGTAAGGACATAAAATACGACATATCTAATATTGTTTTTCTTAGAATAAGCTTTTGTTTTTGTGATTACTTAGAATTAGAGTTCTTAATTATGTTTATTTTTATATTTAGAATACACTTTAATTTATAATTTTTTTTAAACTTTATTTGCAATTACCTGCACAAAATTAATTTTAGGAAAAAAATAAGCCAGACCAAACTATTCAATTAAATTTTCTTTATTTAAAAAAATACATTTTATATATTTTTTAGTACATGTGTCAACGATTATTCCACAACGCATCTGCTAAGGCATCGTTTCTTAACCTCGGGTCGCGACCCAAATTTGGGTCGCGGGCCATACCGAGATGGGTCGCGGGACTTGCGGGACTTTTTGAAAAAGCGCGCCGTAATCACTGCATCCTTAATTTAAATTAAGAAAATGTAGAAAATTGATGATTTTATTTTTTATCGGGTCACGAGCTTCTAATATTTTTGAATTGTGGGGAGCCAGCCAAAAAGGTTAAGAACCGCTGTGCTAAGGCATCCCTTACATGTCTTCCTTCTATAGCTATCGGTTCATTATTGAAATCCCCAGCTTTATTATTTTCCACCAATAATTGTCCCTCCTCTATGTATTGCTGAATCATTTCATCTGGATGAAGCAAGCAAATGTTGTGTAACACACAAGCCGCTAATACTGTTAATTAAAGGTATCAGATCTGTTCTATTCATGTCGAGGTACTTTAGTCGCCTCATTCGCCCCTTTAATAATGAGAAAGCTCTTTCGATGACTTGCCGTCCTTTCGATAAAACTTTGTTAAAGAAAATTTGCCTTTCAATTAAATTTCCCCTATTAATATAGGGTGTCATTAGCCAAGGTAAAGTGGGGTAAGCCTTATCCCCTAAAAGATATGTACCATTTGGAAAGTATATGTCTACATTGTTATGAATGTCTTGGTATATATGCGAATTCCTAAAAATTCTTGTGTCGCTTACTGAACTAGGGTATCCTACAAAACAGTCTATGAAACGCAAAAAAGGGTTACATATTGCTTGCAGAGTTATTCCATAGAAACATTTTCTATTTATGTAACATTGAGGATTTTCTATTGGAGCTTTTATTGCTATATATGAGCCATCAATAGCACCAATAGCTTTTGATAGCTTGGCTATTCGATGAAACTTTGCATTTAACTGCAAAATACTGTCCCCTTGTGGCCACATTATAACATTTGGAGCTATTTGACACAAACCTCTAATTACGTTCATAAAGCATATAGGAAGTGACGATTTAGCCAAATCAAATCTTTCTGCTACAGACCTAAAATGATTACACATCTAACTGATTACCTATTGTAATTATTAATGGAATCACACCTGTAACATTTCTGATTGGCAAGTAGCCAAATGGTTGCCAATAGCTGTTTATTTGCCGGAATCGCAGGAGGGCCACGACCTCTATTACTCATTAAAATTTGCGTCATTATGCCCAAAACAGCCTCAAAGGCTTCACGTGTCATTCTGAAGTGCATTTAAAATTGTTCACCATTATATTGGGCTACAATATTTTCTACGTATAAATTAATACGTAAAGGTGCATCACCTTTTTGAAGTTGTAGCAGTAGACCCAAATTCCAGTCTTCCTCATCATCTGAGGAATCCTTAAAAATATATTACATTAAGCATCACAAATATTAGTGTCATATGAAAATTCTAGAAACAACCCTGTTGAAAATGACCAATTCTAACGGTATAGAAACTATATATAGGTATTATAGAAATTAGTTACTAATTGAATTGGTTTCTATATCGATTGAATTGATCATTTTTAAAATAAGTAGATTTAAACTAACCTCATATTGCATAATCAAGTTCTTCGCAAAAGAAAATATGGAAAATCCCACAACCTTACAAATATTATTATTATTCATGATATTACCAGAAAACTCGTCAAAAAAGTGTGGTTATAACTTAATTACTCCGGCGCGTTCGTCAAATTTGTTGGATAAACTTTACATTTGCCATTACTCCACGTTACACTACTCTAACCCAACTCTGACCCAGGTAAACGTCATGAACGCACCCCTGTGTTTTAAATAATACCCAAGTGATTTTTGGACTTAAAACAATGGCGAATTGTGGAGAATGTAAATTACAATTCTGGAAAATGGCAAATTTAAGGTCTCATGTAAAGAGAAAGCATCCTGGTGGGTATATTTTATTATTTCTTAAGTAGCTATACATAACAAAAGAAAATTAATGGAATATCAGGATTACATTTATGAACACCTTATTAAAATAATTATTTTTTAGAAAAAATTCATACTTTGGCTCCAAAAGTTGTAAAAAAGGTTGGGGACCATATTTGCAAAAAATGAAATGACACATTTTCAAATTTTGTAAATGTAAGGGTGCATATAAAACGAAAACATGCAGGTAAGTTACATTACATCCAGGGGTAACATGTGTGTTACATATTTTAATCATTAAAACATCTATACTTTTTTTTTAACTTTTTAGAGAAATTGGAGAAACTAGCGCCTATTAAAAGTAAGGTGTTTAAATGCAACTTCTGTGACTTGGAGTTTGATACACTTAAAAAACGTATAGTTCACAAGAGAGTTCATGCAGTTGTTAAAATACTAAAATGTCCTTTATGTCAGCAAGGATATACTTCAAAAGAAAACATAATTCAACATTACAATGAAGACCATTTATTACAAATAGAAACAGTAACCTTAGAATTACTTTCCTTCAATGATTTTCTTGCATGGAAGGCCGAAGTTGAGAGAGACACCTTTTCATCTTATATAAATTTGCATGGGTCAGGAAAAAATCCAAACATTAAAAAAATAATGTATGCGTGTCATAGATCTGGTGATATTAAGAAAAGGGGCTCTAATATTCGCTTATTAAAAACCCAAGGCAGCAATAAGATTAATGCATATTGCCCTGCTCATGTGATAGTACAAGAATCCAAATGCTTTTTGCAAAACACATGTTGGGCATAGGCAAGAAGAGGACATAGAACATCTTTTTTTGGCAAAGTCAAACCGACAACAAGTAGGTGCAAAAATAGCTGCGAAGATTCCATTTCAGACCATTCTAGATGAAATAAGGGACTCCGTGTCCAACTGTCATTTAAAGCGGATTCACCTACTGACCAAAAAAGATCTCTATAATATCGAAAACAGTTACAACCTAAATAAAACATCTATGCGCCATAAAAATGATGCTGTGAGTGTGGATGCATGGGTGAATGAACTCACTGCTAGTGGTTCAGTTCTATTCTATAAGCCACAGGGTAGTGTATCTACCGATTATCCTATATTGAAGGAAGAGTTTTTTTTTCTGGGTATTATGACTGAAGCACAAAAGGATTTGTTATTAAGGTAGCAAACTGTTTATTTAGCTAATATATAATAATAGTAGTTAAGACAGCGGGGTCCTGAGCCAAACTGGATGGCATGTGTTACCATTCAGGATTTTTCAGGCATTTTTCAGCACTTCAGTATTTCAGCCGAAGAAGTCCTGAAATACTGAAGAAGTGCTGAAAAACGCCTGAAAAATCCTGAATGGTAACACATGCCATCCAGTGTGGCTTAGGACCCCGCTGTCTTAACTACTAATAATAATAATAATTGATTATCATAAATAAATTACAATAAAATTTAACAATCAAAATGCCATTGACCTAAGTCCTTCAGCCAAGGAAAATTAAGTAACAAATATATCTTTGGCTAATAATAGAAAACCAAACATTATACTTAGATTTATAATATATACATATATATATATATATATAATATATATATATATATATATATATATATATATATATATATATATATATATAACATTTAGTTTATAAACTATTCTTTTTTAAGGTTTGGAGATGATAGTATCTGTGTAGATGGTACCCATGGGTTAAACGGGTATGGGTTTGAACTTCATACAATCCTAGTATTAGATGACCTGCGGGAAGGATACCCATGTACCCAGAAATTATGAAAATCTTGAATCTTGAATCCTGCCAAGTTTAGGTAAGTTGTTTTTTTTTAATTTTATTTTGTTCCACTTTGCCTCATGGGGCAAAGTATAATATATCGTGGGGTAAAGTGAAATATATTTTTATTTGATATGAAGACTATAAAAAAATATCTAAACAATTTTTTCATCAGACAGACAATCATATATATATATATATATATATTGTAACGGTTTGATTTTGGGGGTTATAGCTGATTTTGTTAAAATTTAGTAAGGGGAGCTTTTTGCTTAAAATTTCAGTACCAAGTCATTTAAAACCATTATTGGAGTACTTACCTTGTATGTGTGTTTGCTTAAGTGGTAAATTTTGATCTATTAAGACTCTTCGTAACCTAGAGGTTTTTAATGATTTCTTGATTATAATTTAGCTTTTTCAGGTATTTCGGGTATAAAGTATTGTAATGTGGACCTGGAACAGACATTTCTGTAATGGCATTATGTGACCGATGTGTTTTTGTTTGAAAATATCATTTAAAATTGTTGTTTTCAGGTTAGGCATCTTCTTCTAAATGTCACTTATGTAAGTGATTGAGTGCATTTCACGCGCAGGCAGATTTTGATTTCGGTGACTCTCTCTCTCTTCGAGCTGACATGGAAGACGGCGGTCACGATTTTGTGAATTTTTTAAAATCCGTCAGTTGGGTAGTCATCCTGTTAATTTTTTGAGAAAAAGAGCCCATAAGATCTAGGTAAAACCGTTTTCTTAATCTGCATTGAAAAATTTATCAGTATATTCCATTTTAGTCTTTTTTTCTTGGAGATTAGAATTTTATAACCTCAAAGCACATTTTACCTTTTTTTTTAAAATCTTCGTGGTTGATTGTTGTGTTGATTTTGCACTGGTGGTCCACTGCATATTATCCAGACTTGGCCCTGGTTGACGATATTTCGTCCCAAAATACATATTGAACTTG